GAGGACAAGCGGCGATGGAAGATGAAGAAGTGTGGCACTAAATGATTCTTAAATTATAAATGGTGTTATAATCTCTCATATTAATGTAACATCTATATAACGGAGCTTTTCCGGATAAGCTATAATTTTTCGTCAATTAGTGCCATTTCCGCTACTATATAAAAGTTGTCAAACGCTGAAAGTCGAGACTACTGACCTAAACGAGGGATTGAGCTCAGAGATGTCTCGGGTTGTTGGGCATCATAACAGCTAACTTCAGCTCTTCCAAAATATTGGAACTCAATGAAAATAAGAAACGCAGAAGAAATGCAAGTGCATCCAGAAATGCGAGCAAATGATGAGAATCAACACGCGACTTCATTACACACAACCAAACTTATGAGATCTTGCTTTACAATGCTTATTTAATTTTTTACGCCATCCTATCTCCCTTGTTCCACATGAAAGTCCAATCTGCTTTGACGAATGCGTGCATCAACTATTTCGCAAAAGCTATTTACATCACACTTCTGTTGAGAAATATATATACCAACAGAAGTGTGATGTATAAAGCCTTGACGAAGTGGTTGATGCACGCATTGTATTGAGGTAGAAATCCTGGACTGCAAAGGTGAAAACCTTCTCCGCTGGATCCACCTAGCTTTTAACCCCATCTGGCGAAAGTCGGTGACCCCTGAAGACTGGAAGAAACGCATGATAATCCAGATCTTTAGGAGCTTGGGTTCAAGCCGACTGCACTAATCATTGACTAATCACGCCCCTGCCGGTGCTGGAAAAGGTCTTTACGCGAATCATTCATAGACGACTAAGGGAATCCATCGACTGTTCGCTGCGAATTAAGCAAACTAGCTACTGAGGTGGACACTCATGCACGGACTTTTGTGTGAAACGATTCAATCAGCAATGTCGAGATCTCCAACTCTGCTAGAACACGAAGGTCTCTGTACTTCCGGGCAGCCTTCGATTCAGCTCATCACTAGCCAATCCGGTATGTTATTCGTCACATGATTAACAGGCGAGGGTAAGGTTGAAGGTCAATAAATGGGGATTAAATGCACTGGTCGAACTGAATTATCATTCTCGAACTGGTTCAATATCATCAGTGGAGTTCGTCAAGGTATTTTGCTTTCTCCTTTGTCGTTCTACATGATGGGGGACTACGTTATGCGGAAGTATGTCGTCCCACACAAGGAAGGACTGGTTTAAAGTAGACGATGCAGCTCGAGATACCCGCGGCATTCCTAACATACCTTGAGTGAGCCAATGACGTCGTGCTGAGGAGCAACACTACAGGTGGCCTGAACTTACATAATGAATGTACGTACGGCAAAGCATTTGGACTAGGGCTACATGTGAACGCGAAAAAGACTGAGAACGCCCTCTGCG